CCGAACGTTTAATCCTCGCGGAAATACGGAGTAATTCCCGCTGTCTTCCTTCTCCTCCCCCCCGCCGCCGTAGAGTCGCCTACCTCCGCCTGTTCTCGATTGTCCTTTCGGTCCCAGCTATCCGGCTACCTCTTCTCTTTTTAATTAAAACAGAACTTTTGTTCAATTACATTATACACGGGGTGCTCCAGATTCACCACGAGTCACGAGTTTTTAGTCAAAGGTACTCGAGACCGAATTAAGAAGAATAGAGATTGTTCCAATATAGTGACATCGATAAACGGAGTGTATACAGTAGAAAACTCCATTCTCTCTCTCTCTCTCTCTCTCTCTCTCTCTTTCTCTCTCTTCATTTAATTCCAAGTAGACTTAATTTCGTGAGAAATTTAAATGCCACAATGTTAGTAATAATAACTTTATTGCGTATACAGATTTGATATTGATAAGTCAAATTATAAAAGGCATGAAAAAGAGAACGAAAAAGATGTAGGCGCCAGTAAATTACTGCTACGATATATATCTGTAGAAAAAAAGATATAATTTGATCTCAGGGGGATAAAACATAACGAACGAAAGAAAAAGAAAAAAAGGGTGAAATAACTTAAATAGACAGATCGTAGTATAAAATGTACGGAACGTAAATAGAACCCAAAAGTTAAATGTTGAAAATATTTCGGTGTCAGCTTACAATTAGTTAAATTTTCGCAAAAGAAGAATTCACGTTCGATTTAGCTCAAATTTTAAAGCTTATATCCTAAAGGAAGCTTATTACTGTGCTAAATCTAAAGTTAATTTTCCGAAGGAAACGGATATCCTTCGCCAATCCTTTCGACTTTCAATTGATTAGTACCCGCTTGGTATGTGAGTTGCGTATCGAAATAATTTCGCTGTGGCGGGCGCAAATGTTTCTTTGATGACATCGGCTCATTGTCGTTACCCACGCTAATAGTCGCTTTTGCCCGGAGCACGTCTGCCTATTAGCATACGCATTCGAGCGTGTCGCGTTTCTTGCTCCCAGCCGTCCTTGTTCCCCGAATATCACATGAAATGGAATCTCCGAAAGTGCTCTGCTTCTCTCGCTCATCTCTATCTTGATAACTCATTTTCTTAGTAAACAGCGAAGCGTTATTTCATGAACCATCGTCTACGATTTGCGTAAACGTCTTGTAATTAAGCCAGTTTAACATTTTCAAAAGCGTCATCCTTTTCTTGCATCAAGTCATACTGTTTCTTAATCGTTCGTTGAATATGAAGTAAAATCTCTCCAAATCTCCAAATGTGCCCTTCTCCCACTCATCCTTCTTGATAACTTATTTTCTTAGCAAATAGTGAAGCATTGTTTTATGATTCCCCGTTAAACGTCTGTGATTAAATATATATAGCAAAGTCAGTTTAACGTTGTCAAATGCGTCACCTTTTTCTTTACGCGAAGTCACGGCCGCGCTTCCCAACGCATTTTGGGACCTGACCGCTGAACAAATCTGTGCATTCCGGACGATTACGAAGACGTGCCCTAGAAGATATGTGTGCAGCACGGCGATAGGGAGATTTTCATATCGCGCGGCTCTCCAGCACTGACGATCATTTCGACCCGGGAACATTCCGCTATCTCGCTCGAACGAGAGACCGTTCGGCCAGGGAGGACATTTTAGATTCGCGATTTCAACGATATGGGATTTCTCTCAGGCCGCGTAGGAGAAAGGCCAGGCGAAATCCAAACTCTTTGAATCGGCGGATGGCTCCGCGGCCGCCATTGTGTGAGTGGCTTACCGTCGTTTCCCCGGGATAAAGCGGGGGTATCACCGGATACCGCTCATCCCAAGTCTATCGCCGGTGCCGTCCGCCGGGCTCTCAAGGATCCCGTTCCGTCTCTTGAATTAGAGGGAGGACGACGCCCAGTGACTTTTATAATCGCCTTTAACACCGCTCGCGAAGGGTCGTTTTCAGATGCTGCATAACTATTTTATTAACGCTCGCGAGCGCTTATTGCGCGGCAAGAACGTCTGACGGTCTTATTAGCCCTCCGCGCCCGTTTTCCGTAGAAGAATCGATGTCAGAAATGGACTTACAAACTTCGTCTATCTTTTCTTTTTACCTGCATTCTGTGCCATAATCGTCGAAAATAATCGAAAGAGAATTCTATATAAATTAAAGTATCAATAAGGGCTCGATTAATTAAAGATTAAAACGTTAAAACATTCAAAGGCAATGAGCCAAGCTGGGTGTTACTAGCTGAAATTACAATATATTTTTAACAGAAATGGTCCATACGTTTCGGCTTACATTAAGCCGTTTTTAACGTTTTTCATATATTTAACACTCTATTCCTTAATGATTCACACATCCTTGATTATCTTACAATTCCATTACCTTTTCCGAAATAGACTCCAAGTGTGTAAATCTGTAGTCACATTTTACGCATTTATATGCGTGTTATATTTTTACACAGTTTATCTGTGTTTTACACAGTTAAATGCATATTTTTACACGCTTAATTTTACAATAATATGTGTAAGCGTGTAAAAAATATGCATCTAACGCGTAAAATGTGACCACAGATTTACACTTGGATTTGGAGTGTAGGTTGTCAAAAATTGGTTTAATATAAAGAAATGTTGCTTCTCACTTTTACCACACGACTGTTGGCGTGATTGCAACATTGACATGTAGAAATCACAGACATTACTATGTGGAATTGTACTCTCGTATTCGCATTCAAAGGAAACTACGAGTGTGATGTTAGACGGCATAGCATGAAACATAGACAACGAATTGCGTAAATATATTGTAATTATTGTATAGTGCAATGTATTATTATATGTATTATTCTACTGAGGATGACTTAATATAAGCCGAAACGTATGGAAACCATTTCTATTAAAAATATATTGTAATTTTAGCTAGTAACACCCAGTTTGGTTCATTGCCCTTGAATGTTTTAACGTTTTAATTCTATATAATTTATATAATTTATACGTATTAATTATTTTTATATTTCTCGACACGCTGTAAACAAAAAATCGACTGGACTAATGAATGTACCTGGTAGAAGAACTTCGTGTCTGTCAGTGCAATATCGAGCCAAGGCTACGTATTTTTGCACGAAAATGCCTGGCGGCGCTGCTCGATTCCGCCTCACGTTAACGTAAACAGAACGATGTCTAAAACGAGAAGAAAAACGAAGTTTGTTCCGGCGTTGGTGCGGCCGTGAACATCACGGCGATCTTAATTTCCTGGGCGGATGGTGCGTGATAATTCCGATGAAAAATTCCATCCTGTGCACGGTGTAATTAACGAGGAGATGGCAGACCGCGCGCGCACGCGTTTGCGTTTGTGTAACGCTCGTCCTGTCCGCTCGTGAAAGGACCTAATTAATTAGATATCCCTACGACAAATTGCTGGAATTACACCTCGCTGATTACAATTAGACCAGGAACGAAATTCCAGCGCAATAAAAGCGCGGCACACTAGACTCGCGTTATGTTTTCTGTTCCTCTCTTGCTCTCTCGTTCGCTTTCTCTCTCTCTCTCTTCTCTTTTTTTTTCTCTCTCTCTTACACACACATATTCTCTCTGTGTCTTGCATTCATGCGTGCGAACGCACATATACGTTTTGTCGCTTAACAAGAACTTACTTTTATGAAAAATTAAAGGTAAAATGAGAGTTCCTTCATTAGAGAGGAACAAGAGGACTAAGAGACTAGAGGAGAAAAATAGAATAGATATGTAGCTGCGCTAGGAATGCTTTGAACCTTTCAGAAGTTCTACTTTCTCTTCTCTTAATGAAACTTTCTATTATTTCGTATTTTGGAATTAAAATATCTGAATATTGTTGCGTTATATAAGAAAGGTAGAGGAGTAATTTAATTAAAACATGACAAAGAAGAGGAAAGATACATTGGGAACAATATTACATAAGTGGAGAATGCCAGTATAGCAACAGATAGTTTGTATTAAAATATATTTTATCCGTTGCGCAGTAACTATTACATTTTCTTTACCAGGCCGTTACTTCTGATAAATCTACAACCTTTCCCCGGAGGAGTTTCGCAGCTTTTTTCCAATGAGGCGAAAATTAAATTTAAGTAGTTAATAAAAAAAAAAAAAGGTTGGCAAAAGGGTCGAACGGGAAAGAGAGCGGAACGAAAGCGTGGAGAAACGAGGGAGAAGATTGAGGGAGCGAAGAGCGCGCGGGTGGCTAGAGCAGATCGGCCGATCTCCGTGGTAATCGTAAAACCGACCCATGAAAACCCGGAGGCCGGTGTCCGGATTACGACTGCGAGATTCAAGAATTTTTCCATTTATCGCCCTTCTTGCATGAACGCATACAAGAATTCGATACGAGAATATGGGGTGCAGCTCTCCCCGGCTCTTCCAGACCGGCGCGGATGGGCGCGGGGGTGAAAGCCGAGCGGGGGAGGATGCTCTACCCATCGACCTCCGCCTTGAATATCTAATCGACGGCGTGTTGCTCGCTCATGCATGCACCTCGGCGGCGGCGAATCGCGGCGGTGCATTCCGCGAGACACTGCTCGTCGCCCGGTGCCGGGCGCATTTCGTTCTTTCGTTCCCTTTTTTCGAACGTTCGCGGCGCATCGTATTTTTCCAAGCGCGACGCGCGCACGACACGATCACCTCGCCGTGATATCCGGCGAGATTGGAAAGGGCTGAGCGCGACACATAACGCGTTGTTTTGCTTCTCGTTTATCGACGACGGAGGGCTGAAACTCGCAAATTGATTGTAAATTCAGTGAATCTTTTTTTTATATTTTTTTTTCTGTATGCACGTGACATTGCGTCGTCTAAATATTTTATAACACTTATCCTTTAGTTTATTTTTGTACCGAATTTTCGAGAGCTTTTATTATAGATATCTATAGAAAATAATTTCTATTATGTGTGTCATATTCCTTCGATTTCTGTCTTCGACAATTAATTCGCAATCAAGAGAGAAAAAAGTGATAAAAAGTAATTAAACGTGTCATTGTTGTAATGTTTCAGGCCAAATCACCCCGGAAATTTTACCCGAGTTCTTAGCTCCTTTGGAAAATCACACGGTGATCCAAGGTCGTGACGTCTTCTTCACCTGCGTCGTTAATCACCTGCAATCGTACAAGGTACGACTTTCTTTTTCAAACAATTCTACTCTGTGTATTATTGTAAAAAGTGCTAAAAAAATAAATATCAGAGCACGCTGAATATAAAAAAAAATGTATAATGTACATCTATTAAAATGGTACATCGAGACTTGCGTACCAAGAGATGCGGCAGCGTTATTCAAATCTTCTCTTCAACTATGTAACAAATGTATAATAAATAGCGCATGATGTCTCCGTGAAAGCTGGTATTTTTACCGGAGCGAGATGAAAAAACATATCCGCCTATAAGACAATCTAAATTTGCATCGTTCTCGCGTACAGTTTTACCCGCGAAAACTCGTTTCTTTCGCGAGTCTGACTATATCTGTCCGTAACTACTATATACGAATGACGATACGAGCGTCTGTTACGTTGTGAACTAATTTCAGACGAATTTATATATATGTATATATAATTTGATGTGAAACTTTTCACATTTTTATCTTCTCTCAATTGTCCTTCATTGCGTAGATTTTAATGACGTATTATAAATTTAACTGTAATATTAATTACCTGTTAGTAATAAGTCAGCTGATATATTGAGTTTATTTTTATTTTCTCGATCGCACGGATTTTCAAGCGGCCCTCCGTATTTTTCAATTAGCAAAGTACTCAGTTAAACGCGTAATTCCCGTTTCTACGTTTTATTTCGAGAAATAAAATCCCTTTTCCGGTGTTCCAGGTAGCCTGGATAAAATCGGATTCCCGAGCGATTCTGGCGATACACACGCACCTGGTGGCGCACAATAGCCGACTATCCGTCACGCACAACGGGCACAACACGTGGAAACTGCACGTGGCGAATGTCCAGAAGAACGACTCCGGTACCTACATGTGTCAAGTCAACACCGATCCTATGCGCAGTCAGGTGAGACCCCAAACTCTCAGTAATCACAAACGTTTACATACTTAACTCAAACACTGAAAGTTGAATCTACACGTGTAGAACAACGTACCGTGCAATGTACTTAAAAATTACTAACTCATTTTCTAACGACACTATAACGGTTTTTCCGTTCTTGTGAACGCATCTTTTTATTATTATTTCCTACCTTTTTTTTTTTTAATGACACGGGTACCCGCATTTTTTGAAATACCGCAAATGCCGCTTCACACAGTATTAATCCGGTACGTTGAAACGCGTTGTAACGCGCAATAACAACGTATCTCTGTTAAATTAATTTCCATTTACCTTCTACCCGACGCTTTATTTTTCGACGGCGTTCCCACGTTGGAATCGCGCGCACGGCGGTCGTTATACGCACGCGGCTCTATCGATTTCCATCGACAAAGCGCCGCGTCGCGCTGCGCGATGTAATTCGATTAAAAAGATCGAGGTTTCGCGCAATTTCGTCCGGATCCGTCCGGCGGAATTTTTAAAATTCCATACACAAGCCCGACCATAACTTTTTAACGCGCGCTTTTTCTTCAGCCCTCTCCGACCATTATTTTGCGGTGCAATATCGGTTGTAATATCGGCCTACCGTTGCTGCTGCAATTCAGAGTTGAGGAGCAGTGATTTTTATGTTATTTAAAGTAGAAGATCTTAAGCTGTCAAAATTAGAGTGTAATTACTTGTCTCCAGGTTCTTAAAGATTTCGCTTCATGCTCGAATTTTTATGTGTTTTCGACTTTAACAAACCTTTCTTTTCTAACGAAAAACTAGTCGTCATAAATATGTTACTAAATATAAAAATTTCAAAAACTATAAACACTTCGAATTTAATACAAGTAAATATGTATTTTCATAAGCAATGGAGAAGAAATTATTGAACGTTTCTTACGGGAACGTTCTTACATATATTATTTCGAGATATTTTCTGTTGACCTTGTTAATATTATTCATATACTTTGTCATTTTCCGGCTAAGAAAAAGAAAGAAAGAGAGAGAAAGTCAATGATAAAAACAAAATATTTACGCAAAGGGAAAATTGTGTTACGGCCTGAAATGGTAAGCGAACGAAATCGTCGCGTGGTTTTAATTATGCAGATTTTCGGCAAGGCGCATGCCGCGCATTCGAGAAGGCGCACGGAAAATTATTGTCGACGCAGAAGTGCGGCAGGTGCGCATCGTACTGCCTCGAGCGACTGTTTCCCCCGACGACGAGGTTCTCGGATCGGCCGCTCGAAACACTCCATCGCGCCTTAAATCCCGAGCCGAGTGTTACGCCGTCGTGTTACGATCGACGTTGAAATTATTTATCACGCTTACATCGCTATCTTATTCACTTGGGACGCGCATCCACTAAACTGTTATCGGCCAGTTACTACCTTCTTTCGTAAATCGGCGCTCGTAAATTCGTAAAAGGATGCGCTTAAAGAGAAATCTTTATCGATTAAAAGGTGCAAGAACCGAGGAGAAAGAGCTATGATGAATATTTCGACATTATTAATAAAGTTTGTGGAAATTTGAAAATATTGGCTAAATCGATTAGCTTATAAAAGGCGCTAAATAAACTTAGCCAATTTAAATTACGTTAAGCGATTAAACGTATTATGCATAATCTCCGATGGTTCTTGAAAACTTCTGATCCCAGATTTTCTCCCATTCATTTTTTATCTTCTCAATCTACTTTTCTTTTTTTACACATACATAAACACACACACACACACACACACTCTATCTCTCTCTCTCGTGATATCCCTCTTATCATTTGTCTTGCTTGCACTACGACGAGCACTCTGGGCCCTTTATCTCGCCGCAGGGCCGTATATTGCATCGGAAGGTTTCCCGCTCTGCCGGTCGCATTGAATTCCGCGGGACATGTGCACCGCACCACGACCAGTAAATTTGACCTACATTCACGTTAACCCGTGACACATCGGCGACCGCCGGTACGTGCCCAGGGACGTAAAACGACGTCTTTTTTACACAGCCACGAGACACTTTAGCGCGGTTTATGCCGACTGACGTCTCGCGCAAGGCGACGACGCGATATATTTCCGACCTGGCGAAGTTAATGCTGAATGCTATCACATGTGCAAGATAATAAATATCGTTCAGTCCTGTGCTCACTGGCTTATTACTACACTTAACTGTCGTTCATTCTTATAAATTCGTACCATTTTAATTTTGCAAAATTAATTTTGATTTAAATTTCTTAACATTTTTTTACTTGTGCTGTAAAAATTATTATAAAACTAATAATTAAATTTGACTGTCTTTGTATTAAAAGATTATTTTGTCAGAAAGTACTATAAATATAAAAAATTTATAATTTTCTAAATATATGCACTGTTCTTTTAAATAATAAGATATAAAAGATATTTTATTAGTATTATTTTTAATACTTTTATAATTAAAAAGAGCTTTTAATTACTTTCTTTTTAAGTGTTTTTACATAAAGGGATTATATTGAAGGATGCGCAGAATAGAACAACAGAAATATTATATTGTTGTTTTTACGTTATTTTACCGCTGAGAATATATTGTAAAACAATAAATTTGTTCTCTAATTAAACGCAACTGCAGCTCAGATTTCGTCAATTATATCAGGGAATTTTATATTTTTTATCTATTCGCGCGTTTACATGAAATAAAATATGTGAAAATTTTACGTTTGCACATTTCGGACTATATTACCGTTATAGCAATATTAACTGCGAAATTTAAATGATATTTCACTGCGATATTAAAATATTATTATGGTGGATCTCATCCTGGCTTTTGCAATAATGAACGTAGCGCATTCATTAAATAAAAAAAACATTTATCAAATAAAATATGCATGTGATAAAAGGAGCAAATTCGAGCCGGCGTTTATTTTATTTCGCCTAAAACCATAAATTTCCTTGCATGTTCGTTTCATCGAATTGGATAGGCTACGTGCACTATTCCACGTCCAGTAAATTCTATACTCTTGCACGTTATACCCGTGCGAGGTACCCTCATCGTGTACGTGCTCAGGACCGTAAAACAATGTACTTTTTTCCGGTGAGTAGTTCGAGCCTTGTCTTTGCCCAGACGGCCTTAGTATGACCTCTCTACGAACTGTTTACTCCGCAAAAAGGAATTCTTTGTAACTCTTTGATCTCCGCGTTCATAGTACATCAAAATGCAATTAATCCGTTCTCATCTTTTTGCTAGAAACAATTTTAATAAATGATTCAGATTGCTGTTGCACAAAGAGCGCGATAACAGAAGCTCTTTTGTAATATTTGATACACCTGCATACAGTTTGGGAAGCGATTTTAAATAACGGTATTCGACATAATTGATATGACATAAATTAGAAAGTTAAAGAATCAATAATATTAATTAATTTTATTATAAAATTATGTAACTATAAAATTCGAGGCTGGCATTGTAATTTGGTTCTCGCTAAGTATCAACTTATCATATATCGTTTATTGCGTGCGCATTTTTATTTCTAAAAAAATTATAACATATATAATTATATGTAACAAAAATTATATGTAACAAAAAATTATAACATATATAATTATATGTATCTTTATATATAATATATATAATTATATATATATAACAAAATCGCAATGAAAAATGCTTAAATGCAAAATTCGAAATTTCTCGCAATACAAAAATCTTTTGATCTCCTTGTTCCAGATGGGATATATGGAAGTAGTGATACCGCCCGACATAATGGATGACGAGTCCGCGGACGGTATGGTCACTCACGAAGGAGGCAATATAAGATTGCGATGCGTCGCCACTGGTTCGCCGAAGCCTATTGTCACTTGGAAACGAGAGGACGGTCGTAACATTATCCTCAGAGAAGACGGGCAGAAGCAATGTAAGTGTACTTCTGAGGATTTTTAGAAAGTGACTTCTTATATCTTTACGAGATTATCCTAAACGACACGCCAATCTGGGTTCTGAAAATTCCGAATAAAAAAATTTTTTAACTCTCTAGTACCGAGAACTTTTTAATTAAGAATATTATATAAAAATAAATGAAGAATTTAATTTTTACATAAAAGGGCGAATAATGAAACGCGGATTTTCTATTCTGATTAAAAACCATGGGAGGGGATCATATCGTCTCTCTTTTTTATTAATAATATTTCTGTAATAATAATAATAATAATAATAATAATGCGAGATCGTGATAAATCAGACCTAGATTTGAAACACATTTGAGGCCTCCGCCGCTCGATATCGTTACCGTAAATGATAATTAACGTTCATCACTATGAGAGGCATTCAATAGACATACATTAGCGGATACGTACATTAGTAGATTCGGGTACGCCGAACACAAAATGTAACACGCAAACCGCTGCGCAGTCCATGCTCTGATGAACTTATATTCACTTACCGTTGATATTTTAGAATAAGCTTTGAATCGCATTACACTCGCAGAACTCGGCATTCTCGTAAAATCGAGTTATCCGAGATTCCTTTGAAACCGCATGTTTCACGAACGCATTTGGCAAGATGACTATATATATTTCGCCGGAATAATAACAGATTCAACAGAGTCAAACAGTGCAAATTACGGCCGTCTGAGATACGCGAAGTGGGCACAATGTAAAATGGATTTATTTATACCGCAGGATATTCCAAAAACAGAGCGTGTGTACACGCGCACTCTTTCTCTCTCTCTCTCTCTCTCTCTCTCTCTCTCTCTCTCCCCCTTAAAACCTTAACATATATAGAATTAGAATCGAAACTTTCCTTAATTAATACCTGCAAAAAGTTTCGCGAATTCCACGGGAGAACGTTTCACGTAATAATATGTTGCATTATACAAAGATGATTAAATTTAGTTTGTACCTAAATTTACCTTGCATTATGTTATTAAATAGAAGCGGACTGTGAATTCTGGTGAATTCCTTGATGCTCATATTTCATCGTAACCCGAATATCATGTTAGCCAATTATGTCTCCTTTTAATCATTCGTTCAGTAATTTCATATTAATTGGTTTCGGCGAAACAATAATGACAATAATAGCATGCAGGCGCTCACTCGCATGCGATGTTTTCGAAACGTAAAAACTAAGTAATAAGCTTGCGCTCGAATTTTTATTTACGATTGAAAATAATATTTTACAAATATAAGAATGACAATCCTAATTAATAGTTTAATAATTTGTTTGATAATATTGTATACAAATTTGTATACAAATTTTGATTATGCTTTAATTAAATCTATTATCGCACAAATCAATGCATAAGTTTTGTTACTACAATATGATAACATGTTGATTTTTCATTAAAATAATGATTTTTCAAAATTCTCCGTTTAAGAAGCATTTGATATTAATCGAGAGTAAAAACGTATCTGTTTAATTTAGAGAGATAGAAGTGAGAAACATTAAAAGAATGAACATAATATGAAGGGAGTAGATTTTAGCATAGATGGAAAAGGCAATTAGAAATTTGACAATTAAACAAGTGCAATTAATCCAATTTTTATAAAATATATAAATTTCCGCAAAATGTAGAACCTTGAAAATAATTTTGCTTATTTGTTTTTTTAAAGTAGAGTTTGTCAGAGAGTTCGGAAATCGAAGTTACTTTAAAGTTTAGGATTTGACATTAGTTTAGAATTCGCACAGGTTCAAAGTGTTGACATCTGACTTAGTATGGGATGCACGTTGAACGGCGAATTCTAACTACAAAGTACAAAGCAGGACATATTGCAGAAATAGGGTCATAGGTAACGCTCGTGCATGGTAACGCCGATATGGCTCCTCGTTCCCAATCGTCTTAGCTTTATCATTGAACTGCGTCTTTGATTTATTGCCATTGTTGAAGGTAGAATAATTCATTGAATACAGCAGATGCCGTAGAAGCTATATACAATGGCAAATATATAAATTAAAAAAAAAAGAATAAAGAGGCCAAGAAACGAGCACATGTTTTTTATGTAATGACGTTATTAAAGTTTTAATTTTTGACATCCAATTTATCGGGTGCTTGCTTCTTGGCCTCCTTGTTCTTATATTTTTTGCGTTGCATACACGAACGATTATTAAACTTAATTTTTATATAAATTTTAATGTAAGAAATAGTGTTTCAAACAAAATCTTTGATTCCAAGAATTCCGAAAAGAAAACCCTGTAAACATTTTTCATATAAGAACATATATAAATATATATAAACATATATAAAAATATAGAATTATATATAATTATACATAGTTAAATGCGAAATATGTCCATACATATCCGTATATACGTTTCTTTTCTTTGTAAAATTATTGTTTGATACAAGAAAATTGATAATAACAAAAAGAAAACATAAAAAATAATTAAAAGAATAATTTTTGCATTGCATTGTTTTTTTTTTACAAAAAATCAAGTTTTAAGAAATGAGAAAAAATTGTTTATATATAATGATATATGTATATTTTTTATCATTTATATATGATTATATATGAGCAAATTTTCTCATTTCTTCAAACTTGATTTTTTGTAAAACAAAGGACAATGTAAAAATTATCCTTTTAATTATTTTTTACGTTTCCTTCTTATTATTATAATTTTTTTTGTATTACAGAATAATTTTACAAAGGAAAGAAACATATATGGATATATATGGATTTTGCATATCATTATATATAATTATATATTTTATATATATAATTTTATATATGTTCATATATATTTATATATATTCTTGTATAAAAAAATTTTTTACTAGAAAGATTGAACGAAATGTTATGTCATTTGTCCTAAAATTATCAGGTATGTATTAATAGTGTATTAATATAAAAAAAAGTACGAGAACGACATTTGGTTTTATTGCCGATAAATAATAGATCCTTCGCGTTAGGATAAAAGTTTCAGCTGCGAGACTGAAGCGTGATGCAATAGTTTTTTATGAGTGTCATTGATAATATCCACTCCTTTCACGCCGTTAGACGGGATTAAATTCGAGGAGAGTCAGCGATACGCACAGAGCTCCCGAGAAGGGAAGATGCCGCGATTTGCGTCGATTCTCTAATTAAGATGGCCATGCCGACGCGGCTGGAAAAGTGTCGGAGCGATAAAGTGTCGGGGGCGCATCAGCGCGGAATAATCGATCGTCTCTCGCGCTTACTCGAGCCCGTCGGTAATTAATTACAGCGCGAACGGTAATTTACACTCCGCGGCAAATACATAAGCACACTCCCCCACAATGCATACGCGGGGGGGGGGAGGGGGGAGGAAGAGGTATATGTCTAAAACCATAAATTATTACGACGCGCTGCTTCAAGTTTAATCGCAAAATAAATAAATCGATAAATACATATATATATATTACGCTCTGCGCGCCTCCCCTCCGTGCCATCCTCCCTGTTTCGTTATCATTCGCGATGCGTGCCTTCTCCTCGTTTCTGCATGTCGAGGAACGCCGAGGGGACTCTCACGTTGACGTCGTAGAAATAGCATACGAAGATCTATTTAACGCCTCTCGCGGATTAAGAGAAATTGTAGAAGAATCGTTCTAGGTCCCATAAACTCTTCAAGCGAACTCGTCCCCGCGATTAATCCTACCCGAAGGATTAAAGTTTACAGAGGTTAACGACCCCCGCGCGACGAGGTCGGGGACGAGGACCCGCTTGTCGTCTTTCGCGGGTTAAAGTGCACTTATTGACCGCTCTTACAAGCAATCCGCCCACGTCACCCCCGGTAATCCCAGATCCGCTATACGCGGAGTACATTCCGTGTACATTCCGTGTACAAGCAGCGATCCCGTCGGAAGGATCTCCGAATCCCCGACGACCTGTCCTCTTAGCGTCATTCTCGAGAGATCAGTCGAGTTTTCGCGTGAAAAAGAGAGAGAGAGAGAGAGAGAGAGAGAGAGAGAGAGAGAGAGAACTCGGGAGAAGCTGCGAGGCGGGTGGAGAAGAAGGGACAGACATAAAAGAAGAAATTCTCCGATCGTAATCGCCGTTTCGTGCCCGTTTTCGCCCTCCGACTTTGCCATCGTCTCCCTCCCCCTTCGCCCATTCGTGTCAGCCTGATCTCCGAAGCGTCGTAAAAATAGACACCTGGAGAACATCCGAGGTGACACTCGTTAAACGCGGGAAGAACTCCGGAAGGAGATCGGGCGGGGGGTTGAGGGAGATCTGCTCGAGAAGGACGGGAAAGGATAACGAACGATACGGGCGCGAACGAACGGTCGTAAAGTCGCCTCTTTCTTCCTACGGATTCCTCCGCATATCGCGAGAGCTGGAAGACGTAGGCGAAACGAGTCACCCAAGTTGGCAATCGAGACCTCCTCACCTCGCGGATGCTCCGTTCGCGACGAGACGTGACTCCTCCGCGCCGCCGATTAAACGGCGAGCGGACGTTCCCGGGATTGCGGGACTGGATGTACGTTGTAAACTTTTACAACGCATTTCCGGTAACGACACTCGAAATTCGACGATCGTCGGAACAATGAACCTCGGTTGATTGCATCCCGTCAAAATTTAAGCGGCGGTTTTCGAGAACTATTTTCTTTTTTTTTATTATGATAGGATAATAGAAACGAGAAAAAGTGCTGGGGATGCGCGGAAGTTAAAACTAATTTAGCTATTGATTCAATTAGAGCGATAAACAACTTATACTCATTCATAAGACTTATGGTTAAGCGTTGTGGAGAACGCAACACTGATGTCTTAAACTAAAAATGGTTCAGAAAGTTCTTGTTCGGCAAATATTTATGCAATATATTACGACAGCGGAATTATATTATTATATTATTTATAAATATTACATATTATATTATATTATATTATTATATTATATATAAATTAAAAATATTATATTTTAGAAGATATGTTTAACCCTAGACTACCACACCTGGGTAAAATTTATCCGGACCATTTTTGAAGTGCGTGCCATTCCGATAGGGTTGAAGAAGTGGGGTCGCGATGTGGGGGGGAAAACACTTAAAAGTGTCCTTTACAACCTTCCATCATAAGCCACGTCATTCCACTTGGTATTGCCATTCCAGCCACGTGTAAAGTTCGACAATTGGTCTATTCACTTGGTCAAATAATGTTTTTTAAAGTGAAGCCATATGAGGTATTTTTCTTTTGAAAATACCACTCATGTTCTTTTAGAAACTATGCTTTATTTTTTATTTGCCTCTGAAAAGAACTGCGATGTAAAAGAAAAATCAGCCTTTTTCGGAAGAGATATAAAAGCCGATTTACATTTTTGCAAATTGCTCATGTCCTTAAAATCTTTGAGTGTTACTATCCATTCAGTCACCTTTCTTACTGTCTGGCGTATAGATAAAAAAAAAAATTTTAAACCAATGTGTTTGAACCAAAGTTACGCAACAAAATAGGCCGGGTAAATTTTACCCGGTGTGGTAGATTTTTGTGACAAATATGATGTGGTAGTCTAGGTTTAATGATCGCTCTTCTGTTTTTCTCATCATTTGCATTATTTACTTACTATCGGATCTCTTATAAGAACTGCTAAAGTCGCTCGAAATAATGCCTCAAATGTTAAATTAATAATTTCTGTGACACCTCGATATTCTCACGTTTTTCTCCGCTCTTAACAGAACTGATGATTCCAGTAGAATACCATAAAATTTCCAATGTAATATCTCAAACAATTCGCTCTCATGAGCTCCACCGAAGCTTTTATGTTGGAAATACATTTTCATATGAAAATCATGCTAGCGATTTTATGTAGACGACTACGCGCATCAAATACACATTTCACGCAAATCTCAGTAAACTTTATCGGAATTTATTTATCATACCAAAGTTATCGGAATAGCATCTACATAAATTGCGGCCACATACACAATTGTTAATGTCATTAAAAGTACAATATGGAAATGTAAATTTTTGCCAAAGTAACAAAAGCTGCACTAGTAAAAGAAAAGATTGGAAAAAGGACGTTATGGATTATCTCGTCTCTCGGGACATTATGTCGCACAGAGAAGATGTATGCGCGGTGTTAAAAGTGCTAAATATTGATCTTCCCGGTTGCAGCTCTGAAAACCTTCGTCGGCGAGACGCTGGAACTGACGGGAGTGCTTCGGCAAGAGATGGGCACGTATCTCTGCATAGCCAGCAACAATGTGCCGCCGACGGTCAGCAAGCGTTACTCCGTCGATGTTCACTGTAGGTATATCGCGCCGCGATGCGGACGTTAATTAGCCGTCGCCCCGTCGTCGTCGCGTTGAATCATTAGCACGGCAGAAACGTCCGAGTATCATCCCGCGACCACTCTATGCTCTCACGATTGTCGAGCAACGGCTATATAGACGCCGTCAATCACACACTTTAATGAAACGGATCACGAAAACTATAATTTCTCGAAAAGAATCAAAATATATGTTATTAATGAAAGATAAGCCAAAACGCACACATACAATTGAATGATAATTAGAGAGAATCGTGATTGTCTAAAAATTTAAAGTTTGGTTCTAAAAGTTATTTTGTTGAAAGATTCTTCCCATCCTTCCTCTCCCTTTCATGTGTTATACTGCATAATTACTCGCTTGTAACCGTCCTTCGCACGTTCCGTTCACGTGTGACAAGACGGACGGATAAAGATGAGGGCGTTAATTAATTATTTAATTAAACGGGGTATATATATATATATAATATATGTATGTATGTGTATATAATATAATGATTATAATATCACTGAGACAATATATGCTTGGGGTAACTTTATGTTGAAAAACTATTATATATTTTTCGAATTTTATCTAAGATTTTTTATAATTATCTATTAATAATTTTTTTAATACAAGGCTTTTTAAAATTTGCATAACATTCTTAGATTATAATTCAATGTTTTTACGAATTTTAATTATTGCATAAGTAATTTGTACAATTAGTATATCTTGATGAAAAAGTTTTTTTTTTTAGAATTTTTTATATAATTTTTCAGAACTTTTCATGAATTTTAAAAAATAATGCGACCTTTTTATTTTAGTCACATCAAACGCGCCCTCTTGTAAATATACTTTATATAATGTACTTTAATTACTAGTGTGAGAACCATGTAGATTATTAATGCTTCTTCAATATCGGTGGTAAAACTATCATCCAGCTTCTATAGGGCGCTGTGGTTAGGAATATACCGATAGAGATTTTAAATAGCAAATGAGGTTGAATTAAACTTCGAAACATTTTTCGATACCTACATTACCTCAAATTTCCATTCAAAAATTTTTTCCTTCAAACTATCGTGCGCAACATCGTTAACATTGAACAGCACGGAAAGAAAGATTCAATCATTAATATATTATCACCAATATTTTTTAGTTATTTCAATTATCGACATTGTACCTAATTTGAAGAACTTTTATTTTTATTTCTCTATATTCTTACAAATTTTTATGTATCCTTTTCAAATGTCGCATAATAACGCGGCAGTAGAATTATTTGTTTTAATGCAAGGCAATCCAAAGTTTCATCAACTGGAAGACAACGTTGTTGCGAAAAGTATGCCAATAACATTCTTCTGGGAGAAACAATAGAATTACCGGGAATGCGCGCATTGTTCGCAACGTTATACGCCGCGCGTATCGGGAGGCTAAAAAATCACCGTGCAATTTGGTTAACGGCATTCGCAAATGAAAACTTTATCAACCCCCGAAGTCCGCTCGCGCAGGGCGTTTTTCTCGCGCGCGAAACTTCCGGCCGCGCGCTACTGCAAAATTAACCGGCGGGCTTGACGATTTATCCACGTCGTCGCGGGTCGTGTAAATATTTGAGCGCAAAGGGTTTCGCATTAATTCGCTGCTTACGAAATGTAATATTAACCCACCGGCGGTAGCGCCCGTGCACAAAGTGCGGCACAACCAGTTAATTCTTGAATGAGCAGCACGCGCCCTCCTTTGAGAATTCAAATGTATTTTTCACTCTACACTTTTTATACCATCCATTTTGTCTTTTGTCTGATCTTATTTTGCTCGTCTCTGAATAACGCAGTTCAATTTTTTTATTTTAATTACCCAAGTAATAAAACTTAAGATGGTCGTAATCTAAGGATAAAAAAATATCGCGTTAAAAAATATGAAGATGTAAAACTGAGAACGCGAAGAATTAACAGCTCATATATTCTTCGTTATTTTAATTTTTATTTTGATTGTAATACTAACGATGTTATACGTTTAGCACAATGTCGCTCGAGGATTAAAAAAGACGACGGGGGGAACGACGTGCCGTTCTCCATCGATCGATACTAGACGCCGTATTGTTATTCCTTAATTGCGATAATTTAATGATCGGTTGTTTCAGTTTCACCTCTTATTAAAGTGGCAAATCAATTAGTGGCTGCGCCGATTAATAGCGACGTCTTGCTGCAATGTTACGTCGAAGCGTCGCCGCATGCTATGAACACTTGGTACAGGGATGCAGGTAAGAGATGACAGAGTATTTCATATGGCCTACGCCAGACTTTTCGCGTTATATTTCATTCCGCAAATTATACAATTTCAAATTCTTTCGCTAATGTGAAATCCGTTTTTGGAAACTTCGAAATAATATTTATGGATTCGCTATTTGTAGTTTGCTGAAATAAAATAAAATAGCTTTCTCGAGAATTAAATTAAGTCTATCCAAGAATTTGCTGAAATTTGAATTCGATAATCAGATACCCCGTAATTTGTATTATGTCACGTCACACCAATAGATTTGCACTGTTGATTAACCATAGAATCGTTGCAATCAGTTTCTAAAGCGTAAACTCCAACGTACCATAATAATATTGATTGCAAGTCGGAATTGCATTAGATTAAAAATCTGCTCGATCACGCAGACACGCACGTACGTGCACACACGCACGTTTCACGCGATTGTATTATAGTTTTATCACTCCCCCCCCCTCTCCCCCTGCGAAAAGATTTTTTGCACCAGACGCCTGCGTTAATCAAATATGTAAATTCGTGAATTGCTCGTAAACGTCCTGCCCGCTTCAAATAAAAAAAAAGCTCCATAAAATCTCCCGTGAAAATCAATGCGTTTGAAAATTTCTGATTAACGACGAGACAGTTTCTCGCGAATGATGATTTCAAAGCGTTACTTTATGCTGCGTAATAAACGATACGCAAATATTGAAAAATACATATGAGAATAATTGATACAGTTGTAGCAAAAATTGAGTCATTTGTATCGCTCTGATTGGAAAGCCATAAAAGCGTTGTTTTGGAAGCTATACCTATTTCTCTCGCAGTTATTGACTCGAGTGTGGGTATGAATATGTTTTTCATCCTGTTTATTTGACTCTATTTTTTTTCGCAAAAATATTTATTGCTCCCCCGTGTATGGTACTAAGAACTTACTTTACCAAAACATCAGCTGTCTTTGATGTTAAAGTAAACACTTTATTTTCGAGTATTAAAGCGCACTTGGTGCGCACTTGGGACGTAATTTAAACATTTAATAAACCAGTCGTGTGCATTGCCATATATAGAAAATCATGTCAGTTAAGTTAAATAATTGTCCCTTATTAGATGCGCGTTTTAAATGAGCAGTATTTTACTGGATCGTATCGGCCTATATGTCGCACGGTTGTATTTTTGATCGCTTTTGTGGGGTAGAAATTGAATTCCGCGGCGAGAACGTTTCTGCTGCACGTGAAAGAGCCGCGCAATTAAAAACAGCGCAATATTTCCATTCGCTTTCTATTTAGGCGAGAAACTGCTGCCCAGCGACAAATACGTAATGACGGAGCACCCGTTGAACGAGTACTCCTGGCAAATGAATCTCACTATCAATTCCCTGGAAAAACGGGACTTCGGCGGATACGTGTGCTCGTCCGTCAACGCGCTCGGAAAGTATGACGGCGTAGTGCGATTGCAAGGTACAGAGAATTCCCCGATATTATTCAAAATCATATTTTGTTGGCTCCTATTTTCTCTTCTAATGATCCATTCTTGATATAACATCGATGTGATACATCTGACAATATTTGAAAGTAATATTTATTCTTTGCATTAACAATTAATATTAGAAAGACTCGAAAATCTTTTATCAATTTTTTATCAATAAATTAAAAAATTTTATTAATAAATTCTAAAAACTCCGGTCGATTTATATATAGTAAATACTACTGTAAATACTAAATTCTCTCAACGTTATTATCGCGCGGCGTGTTATTAAGCAGATACACGATTCATTTTGCGGATGTTTTTATCACTTTCTGTTTAGAGCTGCATCTTTCCGCGAAGACGACACCGACGACACTCACGAAGAACACGGATAAGCAGCGCAAGAAGCCGGCATTGAAGGGTAAGAAGAAGAGCAACAATAGCAACGGTAGGCGAGAACACGCGGAAGGCGATTCCGGCAACGGCGACGATGATTTCGGTACGACGCAGATCATGACCGGTAGCACTCAAGAGGGCCAAAGAACGGATAGGCCCATCGTGCCTTCCTTACCGCCGCCTTGGATCGTCGTGAACGCCGCGAACCTCAGGCATCCCTCGGTGTCCGCGATCTTGCTTTTGCTTCTTCTACCGACCACCCTGTAAAGCGACGGCGAAGAGCTTCAAGAATAAACGGTGATTATGAGAGAGACGGCGATTTTGAAGATCCACGAGCCCGATCGAAGAGCGGTAGATTTAGAAGAATCTCGATCCCGCGCGACACAGGTAGAGGAATTAATATTTGATGAATTAACGTTGATTTAAAGTTTTAACGCACTCGAAGAGACTTGCTCTCTCTGAGATTTTCCAGATCAAGATTAACACACGCTCAGAACTGTTGTGAATTTTTTAATGCAGTTTTTTTTATGCTTTTAAAAATTTGGTCAAGACTTTTTATTGTCAGATATATGTATTTAATTTTGAACTTATTATAATTTTGAACTCTGAAAATTTTAAATGCAACTACTTGGCTTTTTATATTTTGCATTAACGTGACCATATATTCTTTTTTCTCCTAAACAATAAAGTCAATCTTGAAATATTCAACGTTACATAACTGCCTTGTAGGAAACGATTATCTCCGCCGTTAATAATGGCGAAAGTTTTCTCTCAAAGGTTGTCAGAATATATTTAAAGAGAGTAATCGTTATAAAGAAATCTCTGAATATTACGGACTCTTCTACTTTAATCATTATTTGATGTACTTTACGTTTTTTGCGATGTCAAAATGCTTTCTCGGATTACGTGTCCCGCTCTAAGTATCGATCGCGAAATCCAATATCTTTGAGGAGTAGAAAACCAATCTCTTTAAGGGGAGAAAAGCCTGATTCCGACGGAATCTGACATCGGCTGCCTGGTCATTATCTTCATTACCCTCTATCATCTATATAATTACCTGGCAGCTTTTTAATCACGATTTTAAGGTAAACATTAAATTTGTCTCGTGCGATTACTCTAGGAATCTACCTTTGTAAAATTTCAATTTATGAAAATTTTAATCGCGCATCGCAAGCCACATCACGATCGTTTCTATAGGATATTATATTCATGGAAATATACAAAATATATTTTTAATAAAGAACAGGGTAAGTCATTTTCTCTTTCTATTTCTCAGTCTGGTCAATGGGATATTTAACTTGTTCATATGAGAGTTAACATCTCGCGTATCGGACACCATTTGCGTGCGAAGTTTATTATAAATTCAGGATAGAAATTAATGAATGAACTTAGGAAAGCAAGCAAAGAGGTCAGTTAGGGACCGCTCGTGGATCTTCATTAGTCGTCTCAAGGTAACGCAAAGGGACGCGCCGTGCGTACGCGACAATCCTCTCTGGGTAGGTCAGTCCCTCTGGCGATGATTGTAAATATAAATGAAGGACGGAAGTAATTTCGGTCAAAATGTACAGAAGAAAAAGTGACTCTGCTCTTCCGAGTCGTTTGGATTTTATAACAGTGCTTTTAAAATTTTGCAAATATAAAAGTACATTGAAATACACTCGTACGTTTTCTAAAAAATTTTAATTACATTAAATAATTGCACGCGAAAATACGGTCAAAAAGTTTATGAAAGGATCTTATGTTCTGTTATATTTTAAATTGTTTGGTTCCGTTATCACAATTTAAACGGTTTATAAATTGAAGTATTGCAGTTGCGAATTTTTCTCTAAAAATATTTTTATAGCACTGTTTGAGGATTTGAGACTCGTGATGGGAATAGAGTCGAGAGGATGAGGCGGAGGGTGCGAAACCACGCTGAAGAAGAAAGAAGAAAAAGGAAATAGGTCTTCCCCTTATTCGATATAACAAGGAATGTATTTCTAGATGCGATCGGATGTAGTCACTGCCGCGACCAAAAGGACCGCGTCGAAACTTTCGACACGGGTCTCTGTAAATATACGCGACACGATGTCAACACGTGAGTTAGAGAGGCTCTCTTTTCCTCCCTCTCTCACTCTCTCTCTCTCTCTTTCTCTTTTTCTCTCGTTTAGACGTAACCGGCGATTAATCGGACTGTAGATAAAATACAGGTCAAACAAGTTCGTGCATCGCCCGATCGACACGGGGAACACGGGAAAAAGGAGATAACATCGGGGGTTGTGAATGTGCTGGAACTGCGAGATGAGTTCTCCGTGCCGACATCCTGCATGCTGCGGAGTTCGTGTAGATCTCCTCGTGGCTATTGAATTTAACTGTTCAACAGACCTCACAAAAAGCCGAAGCAAGGGGCAAACAAATCTGTAGGTCGGTATAGACGGATCGAAGAACACGTCATGTTTTTTTAACGTTATTTATTGGGAAAATTGTTTTACATCGATTGTTTTATGAGAGACGTTTTATCGTTTAGAGGAGAAACACGTGAGATTTCACGCGATGCACGAACTTTCTGATTTGACATTAAGAGTTCTCGCAAATCAATGTTCGTATTTTTGCCGTTTAGAATTGAAGTATACGCAATAAATACGTATTTCAGGATATAAGTTATTCCCTCTGTGTTGTATGAACGTTAACAATTGAGACAGTAGCGTAAAAATTAAAAAGATTTACGCTTTATTTTCAACTAACGTTAAGTATAATCTTTACTTTGTTACATTTTTCCTTTCATTATATTATATTCGTATTAATAACAAAGAATCTACTTACGAATATATAGAGACAGCGAAAATTCGGGAATTTTTCTACAATTGTTCGGTCCGAAATGCGATAACGTGGGCTAATTGATTCCGATGGGAGCTTTCTGTGAATTGCTCTGTGCATACATAATTTCGCCTATTTCCGACATTCGCTGTTGTTCAAAAATAAATCCCTGTCTGTTGTTATTGTTGCTGTTGACAATTTGCAAATGTATCAATATAAAGTACAGAGGATCGATATGAGCAAAGCTTTGTCGAACGAAATGAGATTTATTCAAGATTCGCTCAGACTCCTGAGCTCCCTCCCCTCCACCCCGTTTCGCTGGCGACCGTTTTGCGGCCCCGTTTCGTCTTCCACGATACTTTTTTACCTTTTTCATGAGCATCTGTCGCGACCAGGACACTGGACAGTCACTAAATGTGCGCTCGACTATCGCAAATTGGCGTGGCTTAATTCGGTCGGTGCACTTTTACGATTAGATGAGCTGACGTATACTGTAGTCCGTACGCAGAGCGGATGGCACGACAATAAATACGGTATAGTAGAGTCTCGTCAGATCGGACTTTCATTTGGCTTAAAAGCTCGCTAGAAAATACCGGTAATTCAATATTGCTTTTCTGTTATTCTTTCACGAAAATATCCCACTGAGGTTGTCGCAAGGTTCGTCGTATTGATTTAATTGCGCTTAACGATACGCGGCGTTATTACCGTCAATTATTCAATTGAATAACTGACATTCGAATGAGTTAAATAAATTAATGTGATGAAAACGCCGACACGTTTGTATTATTAGATGTATAAAATATATATTTTTAATCGTACGTTTGCGTTAACGCCTTTATTGTATAGTTCAAAGGATCGATCTCGCATTGTAAATATATTATTATATTTAAATATATAATACACTTTTAGCGATAATGCATTGCGATAATGGCAAGGCACCTTTACAGAAATCCGGCGAGTTTTTAAGCACATCACAGACTTGCTTGACGCACTCCATATAAAATATGCAGGGTACATAAAAAATAAATCGTGCACACGTCTTCCCGCAACTGCATCGTGCTCGAGGAAAAGGAAAATTTAATTGAACATTAAATTTCGTTTTGATTAAATTTAACATCAATTGGAGAATATAATTCTTCACATTATCTATTTACTTAAATTTTAGTTTTCAAATTATTTTAAAGGTAGCACTGGAGCAAACAACATTTTTCTTTTATCCGATCTGTAATAAATGTAATCTGAAAAGAACGCGCATTTTTTATGCAGCCTGCATATGCAATATATACATAATGTACATTTTTTCATAATATCATGCATAATATATGAAGTCCCATTAGGCAAAACCCGGATATCCTTTTACTGTAAGATATGCTGCCACAGAAGAACGCGGCGAAAAATTCATCGGCGTTAAGTATGAAAATAAACAAAAATACATATACACGGCAACGAGACATATGAATCATATAGGACCACGTTTAATGTATATGTACATACGCTCGTACTACGTATTGACGAATACATATGTGTAAATAACACAGAAGCTGTGTGTGGACGTTCGGATTTTCGAGGTAAGAGTTTAGGATTCGTTCGATTCGGTGTATCCTCGAACGAGACTAGATTTTGTAATAATACGATATATATATATAGAGAGAGAGAAGGCAGGAGGCGGTGGTTCGCGTAATGCGAGTGTAACATAATGAACATGAAAAATAAAAGTCGTGCCTGTACGCACGATACGTGTATCCACGTACAGTTACATATACATACATTAGATGTAAGTAAGTGTGAATCTTGCTCGTTCGTTAGAAGTTCAGACAACGAAAGTCCGAGCGGATGCTTTCATCGAGCTGCAAAACTTTTGGAAAACGTCAACAGCTTCGCAGGGAAGAGATCGGCAATCTGAAAGAATTTCGTCACTTGAATATAAACTTTATATAAATTCCTGAGTAGCCCAATTTTTCACAAGAAATTTATTATGTAATCCTAAATTTAAGCTTCTTACCATAAGAAAATATTTGAAATTAAAAAAGTTTTTTTACAAACTTTTGTGAAAGAGATAAAATATTTTTAAATTCATACTTAATTAAATTTTTTAGTCTTTTTAAATATTTTTTTTAAACTTAAGTTTGTTAAATTTTCTTAGAATTCACACACAACATAGATATTTTCATATAATATCTTATATATTTACATGTTTTTCTTTAATCTCGTTTTCAGTTCTTTTTTATTTCAAACTTTCACATGTTTATAAAATTCTCTCTTATATATAAAATTGAATCTAGTTGGTAAGAAAGATTGCCGATCTTTTTGCTCCAACGCAGCACAGTCCGATTGCTAATCACTAATGAATTTATGGATGAGTTGGGGGAGTCGCGAAGGCCTAAGGCTACGAATATGCAAAATTTGAAATGAAGACGCCAGATATCGAGTCATTAAATTTCTTGTACGAAAAAAAGTGAACAATCGCGAATACTTAAAATTCTTGAGAAAATCGAAGAACGGTCTGTCTACCAGCGTAATCCGTCTCCGATTTTCGGCGAACGAATGTACCTACAACACCATTGTTTGTATAAATTATTAACGATGCGTTAGCTAGATGGAAATCTATGGGCACTGATGGAAAAGAGATTTATGAGAATTTTGTTTTCAAGAAATCGACAGTATATATCTGAAGTATCTGAACAATCAGTGTCCGTACGATTTAATTCAACTCGACTACCGCGGTCGCACAATACGAAATTACAGCAACAATCCCCGACGGGCTTTGAACATGCCCCGAAGTTGAAATTACAAGTTTGAAGGTGTCTGAACTTTGGCCGGAGTCGTGTAATTGAATATGCCATGTGAAAATAATGCGATACCGTAAGAGAAAACGCACAATTGTTAATAACGAAAATCAAAATTTACACATTGTACAAATTGACGTGGCGGAAGGTATCGCAAAATGTAAACGTCAAACGCATGTATAAATGTATCGTGAGGAATGCTGCTTGCAATTAAAACTGTGAAACTGATTAATTAGAGCCGCATATTAAATAATTATATATTTTTCATAATAATTATTCACTTTTGATATTTTACAAACAGCATTGCCGTACATGGATAGAGACAAATTTTTTCAAAAAATGCACACTCGTTTATTGCGATCTATTTTCTTTTTCTAAATTTATAATGTTATTTAAAAGTAGATACTGTTGTGACTTGTAATTCAATTTACTATCTCTAATCGCTGCTATGATTATGCGCTGTGGCTATGTCTGCGAAAATCAAGGCGTCGTGAAATTTTTCAACAGTTCGCTTAGAGAATTGTGTCGAAGGAAGCTGCAGTCAAGCATTCCTGTAGAATTGCGTATTAAACAAACGTTCAGTGCAATCAGTTCCGAGCAATAATAGTAAATAACTTGTGTCTGCGTTGTTATCCGTAAATGCGACGTCGTTTACCTTTTGTAAATTAAAACTGTGAATACACTGCCTTCGACGGAATAAAGAACAATGGGAGTAATAACTAGTATACAATTCGAAACAAGATATATCGCGACTACCCATAGAACGAATCATAGGGAATGAGCATGATGTACGATACTATTAACTTCAGACAATAAAATGTTATTATCGATGTTACCCTATTATCTGTATTTGATATGTTTCTTCTACGGCACCTTTCACAGCATAGAAGTGACAGCTTGATAGATCAAACCGTTAAATAAGTAATTCTATCGTTGTACAGGATTTCTGGAAGATAATTGATAACTGAATATTACGCAAATAAGTTTGTATCTTTTTATTCCTCTTTTCACATAAAATATTATCCTACACTTTCATTTTGCTTGGTCACGTTTGCCACACGTCTATGCTTAATAGCCTTCGTTCGTTCCAAGCTTTTGTTCTTCTCCCTTTCAAGACTCTCTGTCAATTTCTCAAGGTGACCCTCATAGTTAACCGCGTTTGCAGTGGCATGCAACTCCATTCGTTCGATGTTGGGCACGGTTTTATGTGCACCGCTTAACATTTGCTTGAATTTTCCGACCTGATTCGTCGCGAGTATGGACACCGCAGTGCCCGGTTTTCCCGCCCGACCGGTTCTACCAGCTCTATGTATGTAGCCCTTGATGTACTTCGGGATATCGTAAGATACGACTAGCTGCACATCCGGAATGTCCAAGCCTCTAGCCAGCGCGTCCGAGCTTATTAATCTAAAAAAAATAATCAACATTAACTGATTAAAACTAAACTGTTCGTTTCCTTTTTTTTACTTTAGTACTAAATACTAAATACATCTTATCTTCTTAGTAGAATTAAAACAAAGAATTTTTTTATTTCTAAAGCAACAATATTTTTTCTGTAAAATCAGAATTATTTTATTTTGACAAAGCGCAGAACTTACACATGTATATCTGCGCCTGCGAATCTGCTCAGAACACTCTCACGTTGCTTTGACGCAAGCTGGGCGGATAATTCTCCCACTATGACATTCCGTTCTGACAAGAGTAATTGCATCAAGAGAGCTAGTCTGTGGGCCTGTTGTCCGGAATTTGTGAAAACGAGAGTCTTAGGAATGACATCGTGCCTCGTTAACAGCTGATACAGGACAATTGGTTTGTAGGAAGGCGAGCATTCCACCGCGAGTTCGGTCAATTCCTCTGGACTCGTGTAGCGTCCGACGAAGTCACCCGCGATCGTGTCTAAATTTACATCAGTGTCTTTCTCGGTCACTACGGTTGTGAACAATCTTGGCTGGAAAAGGCCCAGCCGGCTCAACTTCTCGGGATCTTGCGACAGGGTTGCGCTAAACAATAGCTTTTGAGCTGGTGTAATTTTGCTGTTTGAAAAATGATAAATCAATTTGAGTAAGTCTTCGCATATAGGATATAATCACTAAAATTAAAAATTATATCTTATTATTAAAAAATATATTGTCTAATAAAGTACAAAAACTTACCTTGCCCGCATGTTTCCAAGCGTTAAAACAGGAGCCCGAGAGTGAGGTTCGGGTAAATATTGTAACCAATCTGTTGCACGGTCGGCTTCATCGATGACGAGAAATCTTAAACAATCCAAGGAAAATCCAGGGGTCTTTAATATGTGATCCAATAAGCGTCCAGATGTCGCGATTACGATGTCCACCGTGGATAAGTACTTCCCCTTTTCAGCTTTAAAAATAAAAATTTTACTAAATTTTTACGCATTTATATTCGATTTAATTCATTGGTCGTCAAATACATACTTTTCTTAATTATACTGTTTTGCTCTTGCTCAAACGGAAATGCACCCGAGAGTAAGCCCACCTTCAGATTTGTGTGAGACGTATAAGCGACCATTACTTTATGAACCTGCGCGGCCAGTTCTTGCACTGGTAAAACGATCAAGCAGCGAATTTTCGGTACCGATCGTGTTTGCAATTCCTGTACAATCGGTAATACATAGGCCAGAGTCTTGCCTATAAAATTACATAAAATTAGTTAATATAAAATTAAAATATGCATTACTCTCAATCTCAATAATGATATATAATTATTATTATAACTGTTGCAAATACTTACCACTGCCTGTAGGCGCAGATACACAAGTATCTCTGGGCCACCATCCCAATTTCCTATCCGTTTTGCACTTGTGTAACCATTTTATTACGCTAAATTGGACCGGGAATAATTTAACAATGCCATTGGCTCTTAAAACCTCCATCAATTTTGCATCCAAAACTGATTCCATTTCTTCCAAAGTAGGCCCACTATTTAAATCGGCAGATATAACTTCGGGATGTGCCAACCAATCTGGTAACACTCTCTTCACTTCGCGCGGCTTTTTTCGAGCTTTTGCGCCTAGTACCATGAAACTGCTCTGCAAAGGTACTTCCTTCTTTGTAGTATCTTCGTTATTATTTTCCTCTGTTAAATTTTCATCCTTTTCTTCAACAACTATATTTTTGTCTGTTGCGACAGAATGATGTTCATTCTCAATGTCTTTTTTCTTGTTCTTTTTCTTCTTTTTTGTTGACACTTCGGCTGTTTCTATTATGTTACTATTATTGTTACCGTTATTATTACTACTATTAGTCACACAACGGTTGCTAGAGTGTCCTGAGCACACTTTGTTGTTGGAAAGCTGATCATCCTCGATAGACATTAAGCCATTGTCCCCATTGGTGGAATTAGTTGTCAAGTCGCTTTCGTGCGTAATAAGTTTGCTCGATGATATTTTACTCACTATGCACATCACGCGTCCAGTAGCTGATTCGGAGGATACATCACCGCTTTCTATTGATCCATTACTGAGCAAAGAAACAGTCTTTATCGTGACATTCATAGTCTCGTACTTCGCTACTCGTTGTTGCTTCTTTTTTATAGTCACTTCCCTATCTTCGAGAGGATCCACCAAAAAACGGCAATCGATTCGACGTTTTATGGACTGTGGTTCGCTAGTCAAGTCTGAAATATACGAATTCAAGTATTTTTTTAAGTGATCAAATAATATTTAATAATCGCAAATGAAAAATTTAATAATTAATCTAATTATATCAATTTCTAAAAAATTAACATTTTTGGTTTAAACAGATCTTGCATTATTTCAACTTATTCCAATTAATGCCAAATAAATTTCAAAAAAAGCTAAATTTAAGTTTAAAAAATGTAATTAATAATGTATCTCAAATAAGATCTCTCTAAGAAAAAAAAATCATGTTAAAATTCGTCAGAATATGTACCCGAGATTCAAAGGAAATCTTACAAAATATCTTTATTGCAATTATAATTTAGAGAGGAATTTTGAAGAATGTAGAAGTGAAAGTTAATTGACTCAAATTATTACATTTAGAAATATGGATGCATATGAAATATAGGGAGCACAATGAAAGAAATCTAATCTATCAAAATGTCCCTCAGGTTTGTGAAAACTACCCCGAATCAAACACAAACAAGAAATTAAAAAATAAATCGCAGACTCCAAGGAAGAGGAAAATTCGTAAATTGAGCAAGTAAATTACTCACAATCCACTAATTACTCGCGCCTATCTACAATCTACCCTACGAGTATCGCCATCCCCTTATAGAAAAGAGTGTGCTGCGTATGTGAAACAATTAAAATACATACCTAAAGACGACATGAAGATGTTGTGATCTCCCTGATGTATAAAGTTATAAATATCTTTTCCGAGTACGTCGTCCTTCGTGTGGCTTGTGTACTTCCTAATGTTATCTGAAACGTACACCACGCGGCCGTCTGGATTTAAAGTAAACACAAAACAGTCTGCCATCTGCGAAGAAGAGATACGACATTGTAACAATCCCGAAGTGATGCTCTGTAGTTTATGAAAGAACAAAAAAAATGCAATTTGCTTTCGTAATAATCAATCTCACGTGTTAATTCGAAATAATACAAACATGTAATACAGCAAGTTGTTCGTTGGACAATATGTTAGGATTCAACGAGGATACTTCTACCTGTTGCACAGCATTACTATTGGAGCTCTCTTGTTGCCTAATATGCTGCATCTGTTCGACGGTTCTCTGAAGGATCTGGCATTTGTCGGTCTTGCCAGAGTTCATATCTGTGGCAGAAATCAGCTCAGCTAGTTCACAGCTATTCTTCTCACTCCTAGCATTTTGATCCTCAATATGTGAATCAGTTTTCACTGCTTTAGGCGACTTCTTTTTCTTCTTTTTCTTAGGTTCCTCCAAATTGTTTCCATCCTTTAACGTGGATTTATTACTTGCTGCCGCCCTTTGCCTTTTACGATCTTCTATCCTCTTCAACAATTCGGACAAATGATCTGTTTCATTATTATCCTCCTTACTTTCATCTTCGTATCTGTATATAATATACATATTTTGCATTAAATAAAACTAATGGAAAATAATTTAATTGCATAGATTATATTTCATGTACTGTAATTGTTAAACAAGATTTGTATTTACCTACCTGTTTATAACAAATAAACTCATCTTCGTTCTAGATATAATTCATGTATCACATGTGCAGTACAACATAAAAATGAATAATAACAATAAAATCTTATAGCATAGGTAATTACATTTAATAAAAATTGCCGGTTTTTATACGTTAACAATTTAATGACGTCCAATCGAAAACTATATTTATAGATAAAAATAATTAGTATCTTTGAAATAGACGTGTTCTCAATTAACAATTCATTACAATAAGCGAGAAATCAATAAACGCGAGTAGACACTTAAAACTATTCCAAGCCATTGCAAAGCTACACGTGAATATATTTGTACTGTGATTTTAGGTTAAGTCACACACTTTGCATATGCATTGTGCTGCCATCACATTTTCGTGGCAAATCGAGAGACTTCCTATCTCTGTTGATAAAGCAGTAATATACAATAAAAATTGCAATTATAAATAATAATTAACAATGACATTAATTGTATTATTCATTGTAAAACTATTCTTACGAAATTGTTTATTAATTATACAACGTCAATAATGGTTCGCGTGAGCAGCATGTCCAATTAATTGATGTTATAATTAACATCAATTAAGTGACAATTGCATGATCCAGTATCCAGTCAAATGAAGTATAATTCAAAGCATATAATTTTATCGCTACAAGCAGTTAGACTTATGACACATATTTAGCTCAAAGAAATAAGCACAACGTACGCGATATTTTACTTTTTTATCATTTGTAAAAAGTAGAGCACCGATGTAATTAAATAATAAAATAAAAAATACTCTTTGAAATGAATTTTTCAAAAATTTACCTTGCCACGCAAAAACGTGACATTTTGCAAAATTCAACAGTCACTTGACGGAGATCTAAACGTAAAAATTGCGAGCGGAAAGCGTAATTAATATTCAACGGCTTTCATCGATCGGCTTGGAAGTTCCGCCTATCGAAAGTCTCTCGTTATCGGATTTGCAGGTCGGCGACAATATATAGCTCGCCGGGACAGAATTAAAGTCGCGTGCATTCGAATCAGCCTCGGGAGAGATTATATTCGTTTATATCACGCGCGGAGGCGCGGGCAGGTCCTCATCGCGCGGATAGATTTACGGACGGTCGTCGCACCTCTTCCGCGCGACGGTCCCGCCTGTCGGCTTCGCCACCGCTTCCGTGCCGCCGCGGCAACGTTAAATAAACGATCGTCATCGTTCCCCGCATTCCGCGCGTCGCGGTCGACGTGTCTCCGCCATGCCGCGCGCGCGACGGCGCATCAATAATAGCAGCGCGGAATCGCGCTACGCCCGACTACACGCCTGGCTACGCCTAAGCGTACCATGATGATTATGTATGTACATACATACATATATCACGAGATTACATACGAGTGAAGTTAATTGTATCATAATAAGACGCAATAAGATGTAAAAAATTACTGTGTTATTTTTCTTGGCTCATAATATAGTAAAATAAACTTTTCAATGCCTTTGTAAAAAAAAAGAATAGTTGAGAGATATGAGCTACAACTGTATAATATGATTTGATATTATCTATTTTATTTTTTAACGAATTAGATACGGTTTTTTTTTAGAACGCATAAAGTATCGAAATATAGATGCTCAAATGAAGCACCTTATATAAAATTGTCGATGCGCAACGTACCGACGTATCGCGAGTGTCGCGAAGTTATAAGTTCGCAAAACTTGAGGTTTTTAACGCGCAGTTAAGAGGCGGCCGATATCCCCTGTCACTCCTGTCAGCAGTGTCAACCAGACGTGGCACGCGACCGACGACGCGACGCGGACGGTCGAGCCGAACGGAGATTCGCGATTCGCGAAATACGTGCGCGCGCGCGCGCGCGCACAGCGCACAGCGCGGCGCACGGCGCACATCGCGTCGCACGCAGCAGCAGTAGCAGCACGCAGGCAACTTGAGACGATTCGTGACAGCCGCGTTCGTGTGGCCGACGACGGCGAGTGCGTCGACTATCCGGGGATACGCTTCCGCGTGGCGTCGCGAGGGACCTCACCTCCTCACCGCCGAACGTTCGCGTTCGGTTCGTCTCGCAGGCAACTGTCGTCACGTCTCGGGGTAAACGAGAACGGTGAGTCCAGGGTCGCTTGGTTAGAAAGCGCCGGACGGCGCGGAGCTGACTCGTCGCGACACACCGGTGCGTGTTTACGAGTCGCGGACCTCCGGGGCGGAGCTCCCGCGACGCGTTCCCACGCGCGTTCTCACGGTTAGGCCTCCACGCGAAGGTGTTTACGACGTGCGAGACGCTGGCCGTCACGCACGTCGAGGATGACTCCGTGTACGGCTCCGCTCTCCGAACCACGTCGTTTCAGCATCGGCGATGCCTATATACATATATATTTAACTCTGTTTTGTTTGCTACGTCACGTCTATGATAGATGCGCGATGCAAGAGTGTTCAATGGATCGCCGTTGCAGCAACGATCCGCGATCGTAAACACCGTACTCGTAGCGTCGGTCAATTACGTCCGTATTTGTACTAAATGCTGCTCTGCGCGTTTTCAGATTGAAACATGGTAATACTTAGCAGCTTCCTGCCTCCACAGGAAGGGATACGCCACGAGGAGCCAAATACTACAGTGTACATCAATGACAGAGAAGTGGGAAAGGGCACGTTCTACATTACGGAGAGGTAGCGAGTCTATATTATTTAGTTTTTGCTTTCTAAATAATCCTTATGGGGATATTTTGTATAAGTCCGATTGTGTACTCTTATTTGCAGCGTGCTCTCCTGGGTGGACAGTGACACGCAACAGGGATTTTCACTAGAGTATCCTCACATTTCATTGCATGCTGTTTCACGAGATGAGCAAGTTCATCCGAGACAATGTTTATATATTATGGTCGATGCCAAAGTAGACCTGCCAGGTATGTACGTCATTTGGAATACGAAGAATATTTATCAATCGATAAAAATGATTTAATTTCTATGGCCTTCTCGATTGCCTTCGAATATTTTAATTCGTTAATAGTGTTATAATTCAAGGATTTGTCTGATAAGCCTAATGCATTTGCACAATATTATTTGTGACAGATATGCCATTACCGTTATCATCTGAAAATGGTTCAGAAAACGAGGACGACGATGCGGACGCTCCAATTACGGAAATGCAGTTTGCGCCGGATAATACAAATAATTTAGATTTAATGTTTCAAGCAATGAGTGCTTGCCAAGCACTTCATCCTGATCCACAGGACAGCTTTTCCGACGGTGAGTAATTAAATAAGATAACGGATAAAGATCTTATTCCTGATCAACTGCGACAATTAAAAATTTCTGTAATTAAAGAGGACATCTATGAAGACGCCGAGGAAGATTATGAGGGTGAATATGACGAAGAGGTGGGCGCTGGAGATGCGCCTTGCATTTTGCCGACAGGTAATTTGTATACTTATTTTCATTTATAATCAAATTCAAACTTTTTTTAGATTAACACAATGATAGGAGAGCGTAGGCCAAGAAACGAGCAAATTTTTAACTAGATGTTACATCAATATGTTATACTTCAAACAATTACAATACTAGACTGTAAAAAATCGCGGATTGGATCAGCAATTATATTCAATAATCAGCAATTTTGTAGTTTTTAGTATTGTAATTGTTTGAAATATAATATGTTAATGTAACATCCAGTTAAAAACTTGCTCGTTTCTTGGTCTACGATCTCTTGTCATTGTGTTATTTAATAACACGAGCCGTTGTTGTTTTATTAGATTTTTGTTTTTTAGATTAAATAGTAATGCTTAAACTAACGTTTAATGTAGTAGTATATGAGGTTTTTGATTGACAACAAAATAAAGATTCATATTAAATAAATATTAAGCGAATTGGATGTAATTGAACGATGGACTTTCCACTTTCTCATTATTAACAGAGCAATTGGGGACCACTCATACAGGAGCAGAAGCAGAAGAAGCTATGGACATCGAAGCGGGTCAATTCGAAGACGCGGAAGAAGATCCGTAAGAGGCAATGATTAGGTGCAGATGTGCATTTAGCGTTAATTTACATGTTTATCAATTTCATATATGTATTTCGGTAGATATGTATACGTGACGTCGTTATTGCAAAACTTACTACGGAGCCGTATCAAACGTTGAAGCACCTAAAACATTTATTTATATTCATTTTGTACATGGCGATAATTTCCTAGATAAAAATAAATAATTGTACATCAGAGTTGAATTTGATTATTTTGTTCTTTCAATAGAAAGTACGATGTAGCCTGTAAATTTCACTTATATATCGATTCGCGCGGTATGCAGAGAAAAACAAAAACGTTTTATTTTTCAAATAAGATAGAACTATGTTAAAAAAAATATCGTGGATAAATATAACATATACGTAGTTTGCAGTAACTTATTACGGAGCCGTATCAAACGGATATTCATTTTGTATACATGACGACAATTTCCTGGACAAAAATAAATAATTGTACGTTGAGTTTTATTATTAAGTTCTGTTCTTTCAATAGAAAGTTTGATACAATCTTGCAAATTTCATTTATATATGTGTATATATCGTTCGCAATCAGAGGAAAAAAAGAACATTTTCAGATAAGGTATGGAATCATGTTAAGAATATGGATAAGTATATAAATTGATCATATATTCTATCACAACATAGCTTTCGTTGAAAGTCATAAAATAACGATTGACGATATAAGTCAGTGTAAAAATGTCTAGAGTAACAACACGTGACACACAAAAGTCATGTATATGATAAATGATACACATGAATGCATTAAAAGTGCATTTACATGATACAGTAAACCCTATGCGTAATCGAAAATCGGCAGTGCGTTGTATTAGTCCATATTGATCGATTTTTTTAAATTTATTTCGGCCAGGGGAATCAATTTTACGTATGTCTCGAAGTTAGTTAGTTGTCCTAACTTCTTTAACGAGGGTTTACTGCATCAGAACTGTCTCGTTTAAATGCACTAACTTGCGTAACTACTCATTTGTACATATAATACATTCGTCCAAATTCCGACACATCGTGGCGTTCGTTTTCCAAGAAATTATAAGATATCGTAGTATAAAGCGATGAAACTAACCAAAGTTAGTTAACTATATAGTTGACGAGTCTGAAGTGTGAAGTTCTATTTCACAGATACATCATCAACTTTCCAATGGGGTACAACCGTTCGACTTTAAAAATTATCAATCAAAGAGCTTATCGAATTTTCTTCGGTCCAAAGATGAGATCGGCATCGGGCGCTCCTTTAGGATGATTATACTTTTGCCGCCGTTCCCTGTTCAGGTTTACAGTGACTGGTCTCGTGCTCTGATTCATAGTTTCCTGATAATCCTCCTCCTCCTGCCTCTCAGTGATGTTCAAAGTTAATCTCTTCACACGCTCCTTCTCCTCTTTCTGTTCCTGTTCGCGATTTCTGAGATTCATAGCCAACTCAGACGACACCGGGACCGCGAGATTTTTGTACTGCTGTTTGTTACCCTTCCTCAGCATCAGCACAAAGTCCACTGTGCTATTGTCAGACGGCCTCTCCTGCAGTTGCTCGTACGTCTTCTTCGTGCTCTTCACGTGCAGCGGCACGGAGATGTCCACCTGTTGCGGTTTCACCGAATCTCGCATACGGTCCTGTATATTGTCTGAGACCATTTTGTCGAGAGCCGATAGGAAATCATCGTCCTCTGGGCAGCTCACGCGTCGTGGTCCGGACGGCAAAGCTGCGTTCAGTTCCTCTGTCACGTCTACAATCACGCCCTCGGTGCCACCTTCGGCCGACAGACTCTGAGATCGATCACCCTGAGTGTTCTCTTGAGTCCCCATAGCGTCATCGCGTTCTGCATCGGCTGTCCATTCCTCTTCCGACTGCGCCTCCGAGCAATCTTCGGACTCCTCGAAATGCAGTTCAGCCATACCTTTGGCGTCCCCGCTACCGTTTCCGGTCATCGCTGCTTCTTCATCGCCTTCCAAAATAACGCCCATGTCGCTCTCGCCTTCCGCGGTGGTGTCGTCAACTGGAGGATTGCCCAAGGTCGGATAGAGGGTGTTGCGCAACTCTTCCACGGCGCATTGCGCTTCTTTGTAACTCTGGAACAATTGCATTTTAGGTCGTAGCATCATTAGTGTGTCACGATACATGTAATCTATCCCAACGGGGAACGGACTCTCCGACGTCCAGACCGGGTCCGTGTACTTGAACCAGAAGTAGTGTTGGAAGAATACGAGAAAGTAGTCGAGCTTCTTCTTGCTGGATCCGCCGCTAAAGTACTGGCCGCAAGTCTCCAACAATGTGCACACTAGACGAATACGAAAAAGATGATCAGGCGGGTCCAGTACGCTTGGCATTGAGTGATCCACGCTGATGCCGAAGGTAATAAGCAAGTACAAAGTACGGAAAATATCGCCACTCTCCACCATTCGGTAGTTGTACAGCTCGCCCAAGTACTTGACCATGGCAATGCGTCGTTGATTGAATTTGGGCAGATTGATTTCCATGCACAGACGTATGTCTTCGAGCACACCGTCGACCACCTGCGGTCCAATGGTCTCGTAATGGGCTACCAAGCCGGCCAACAGGCTTCCCACGCATCGAATATTGGGATACTTAACGTTGTACGCGGCAGTGAGACATTTTATGGCGTAGGACGACATGCTCTCGTCCTCCCAGTCAAGTTTACGCATCCACTTGAGCACCTTGTCAGTATTCGTCTTAGAGAGGTCCTGGTACAGTAATTTTCTAATAAATTCATGTACGGGTGGTCTGTCCTTCTTTGTGACGCCGCCGGTAGATTCGGGTGGATTCACGAAATAATACGCGTTCTCGATGATCGTGACGTAGCGCGAATCGAGCGCAGTAACCGCTTTTTTGCGCATCATCTGCTCCAGATAGACTTTGGTTCTCTGATGAGAATCCGGCGAGCAAAAGAGGTATCTGCCGCAAATCTCCAACAAGTTGCAAGCCATTTCAATGTGGTGATGCGTAAAGTCATGTAGTAAAACCTTCAGGCAGTACAATGCCTCTATTTTGGAGTAAAGCTTAAACTTGACAAGCTCACCAATATAGCGGACCACTTTAATCTTCGACTCGATGTTGATCTGATCCTTCTTGCGCACATGATATTTAAAGTCCTGCTTCAACATCTGACACAAGTCGTTACCAATCTCGGGCATTACTGGATAAAGAATGGCTGCTAAGCGGGAGTAGAAGGGTAGCAGATCCTGCCGGATTCTGGAAACGCCGAAAAGAGCCTTCACCAGTTTCTTCTTGTTGTGCTTCGTGTTGAGATTCATCAGGAAGTTCACGGCGGCATTGTCGATCATTTCGCGATTCACACAGTTCGGCAGATGCGTTAGAAAAGCATCCAGCAGTATCTTGTTGCTCGTGTTGGACACCTGCGGCTCTTCCACTTCTACCTCAGGTGGCTCCTCAATCTTCTCAGTTTCTTCCAACTCGTCGAAGACAATCTCCTCGTCGAGAGCGTCTTCCGTTATCGCCGTGTCCGTCTTCGCGGCTTCTTTCGGGGTATCCTTCAAATACGAGCCTGGTAGGAAGACAGTAAGATCCGGTAAGACTTCGTAGAAACGTCTGGTCTCTTCGTCGCCCCACATATCCTCCAACATAGTGTTCTCTTCTCCCTCATTGATCATCTTGAGCGTCTCCTCCGCTTCCGCCTTTGTTTCGTTGTCCACTGGAAGCTCGGGCATCGGTTCGTCCAGCGTGTCGGAGAAGCTCTGCACGCTGGTTAGTAGACGCTCATAAGAGACCTGTAGAGCTTCCAGCTTTTCCTTCCGTTCCGAACTCAGCTCTCCTCTGGTCTGCAATATCTTGCGATTCTGTTTCTCGAATGCCTGCAGCTCCTTGTGCTCCTTCAGCATGTGCTTGCACAGGGAGTTGTAGTAGTCACGCAGCAGCAATCTGACGTTCTGCTGTTTGTCCGGTGACAGCAGTTTACTCTTCGGGATGGACACGTTTAATTTCTCGGACAGCTCTCGCACCCTCTTAGGTACAAGACCGGCGTAATCTTCGCCGCAATGTCGGCAGAAGCTCAATATTATACTGGCGTTATTATGCTCCTCTTTGTCCATGTTGATCAATACGGTCAGTACCGAGCCGAGCAATGGTAAGCCCTGCTTATGCGTGAATATTCCAGCGTTCACCAGCTCAGCGTAGAATCGCAGATCTACCCTCAGCTTGCTGGGATTCGCGATCTTGTCGCCGATCTTGAACGACAGTATCCTCTGCCAATTCTCGAAGAAATGAGTGGAAAACTCGGCGTACGTCTGATGGAGAAAGCTGCACACCCTGATAGCGGGCGCGACGTCGGTCATCTTTATTTTGGCGTCCACCAGAGCGGTGGCAACCTCGCTCACGTATTTGGTCAGGTTTAAATTCGCCATGTCCTTCAAAACCGTGTCGAGCTGGGTCAAGCTGAAGTTCTTCAGCTTCTTGACGAACGTCGTGTTCCTCTTGAGGCTCGAGTCGAGTTTGCTGAACGACGCGTCCGGAGGCCTCGTGGGATTCAGATTGGCCGCGCGGATCTCCTCCTTCGTCGCCAATCTCTGCTCCGTTTCCCGCACGTACTCAGTCAAGAACTGCCGGTCCTCCTCCGAGACGGCATCCGGTTCCTCGGCGGCGGGCGGCGGCTCTTTCTCGGCCGGCGCCGCTTCTCCGCTCGCGTTCTCCGACATCGCGCGGATTTATCCTGCAATGCGAAAAAGATCGTATCTCTCCCGTCGTCCGTCGAGAAAAAAGTCAAGTGTCCCAAGTTAAAGCGCGACTAAATTCAAAAGAACGATTCGCAATATTGCGGCATCGCAGCGGTCGAGTGTACTGCACCTCGAGATAATCTAACGTCACGATTGTGCAGACACGAAGGGTGTTATCGTACTTATATAGATACAAATTACTTTGTGAGCCTTAATCAAGTACTTACTTGAAGAAACCGCTTGATGAAATTGCTTCACTTGTTTACTAACTCGCGCTGAAAAATCTGTCGAGGTTATGTTATGGCAGACGACAGCTCACCCGCACCCCACTTGCTGTCGGTCGCGGACAGTGAGAAGACTGAAGAAGCATGATAGCGCCAGAGCGGCCATCCCGGCACTCCCGACCTTTTACGTGCAGCACTGCAGGGACCGTCTGAATGAATTCCGATATCGGGCTCGTGCATGTCGGTAAGTTTCGCAATTACCATACGGCGATTGAACAGCGTGATGGAACAGCCGCGAGATGTCGCCAGGCGACGCGAAGGAGGCCACGCTAAAGACGCCATTTTGCATTCGAAAGTACCGCGTCGGTGTCGAAGCGTCGATTCGTAAACGCGCTCGTCGATTTTTCGTATACCGTTTCTCATTAATGCGATAATTAACGTGTTGCCCGCGGAGCGAGGGGATCTTTGCACGATCTTCTATATTTCCAGCTTTCGCAGGGGAAAAGTGAGAATGTCACACACACGCATATCGAGAGTATATTAATTGGTATATACAATAAACGTTCGATGTATATAATATCTTCTTCGTTAGTATAAGTAAAATAATTGGAAAAATTGACTAAATACAAATAATTTTCAGCAGCGACACGTTGGAAGTGCATCAAAATGAAGGAAGAAGAATGAAGGACGAAATCAGGGTGATTTACGTTTCCTCGGGCGCAGCCTGATGGTGAGCAATATATATTTCACAGAATTTTTTTTAAGTCTTTCGCTTGCGATAGGATATATGCTTTATAGCGTCTTCAATTGCATCAAAATAATTTGTTTTACTGAATCGTCGACGTGAGCATTATGGTCGGTTATTGCCCGTGAATATATAGTATATATTTTATATACCTAGAACCTCATATACTCCTTTTCATGAGTTTTCGGGAGGGGAAAGAGACGGGGAGTATGAATACGAACGTGTACGTGGCTACAGAGGCGTCTGGTATACACGGTGTCTTCGATCGAACGCATTTTCTGTCGCGTCTATACGTTCCGCACGAACAAGCTATAAAGTCCCGTACAAAATTGGCGTGCAATTAATATCGCGATGAATCGATGATCCTAGTATTAGGATTAAAAAATTTGAATCTATTGAAATAGATTAAAGAAAATAAAATTTTAATATATTTACACACACGTGTTTGAAGACTCCAGAATTTGAAAGCGCTAAAGGTGCCAAATCGATGAATGTCAATAATCAAGTGTAAATGTAATTTCAAGATATAATTAACTTTAAAAGATTATTATCCATAAAATTTTATTATTTGAAAATCTAAAAGTATAATAAAAATATAATAATTAAATTTAAACTTAATTTAAAAGAAATAAGTTTGCAAAGACACGAATTTTCCAATCTTTGCGAGCAAGAACACGACGAATCGAGACACCTGATATAATCGCGTCGTCACAAAGAATCCATAAAAGGTTATGGCTGACGCGTTTTTTCGTGTGGCACGGAAGTAGAAACACTTTAAACTGCGACACACACTTGCGAGCATAATAACGCGTCGCTATTAACCGTGAGGTTGTAGATTTTAAGCACTCGAAAAAAAGCTTTCATGCACTTAACGGCAAATAATGCGACGAGTGTTATTCGACAAGTGGTACGTCTGCGATCATTTAAAAAAATCTGTACTGATATATTACGCATATATTAATTCGTGTGATGCTGCGATCGAAGATAATCGCTAATCTTATCAGGATTTACACGAGTAGTTTATTTCTTAAGTCGAGTGTTTTTGCGAAATTGCATGGAAATTTATATATTTTTATATTATATATGAGATTATATTTGTATTCTCTCGTAAAAAGTCCGAGAATAAAGTTTAAATTAATTTCTTCTTTGAAAAATTTATCTATTTTAGATGGAAAATATAAAGACATTTGATATTGCTATATTCTAGATCATAATTAATTATTAATTCTTGCTATATTCTATATTCTATAGCATTAATTATTGATTTATTATTATTTAAAATAAACCATAACATTCTTGATTTTTAAAGAGTCAGATAGAAATATATTACTAAGCAAAGGGAAAGGACTTTAACAACATCTAATATTTTTTAAAATATAATTTAAAATACTAACAATTTTTGAATGTTAAATACAAAGTATCTTATAATTAACCTAAATTAAGAATAGTGTAGCTTGTAACTTGCGAATGCATTTAAAGTTTTTGTAGAATTTTTTAATACTCAAATTATCACAATTCATTCATCCAGTTTCACAAGTCTTCAACGTGAATGTTTACCGTAAATGAAGCGCGATAGTATGACGCTCACGCGCGCGAATCGTGCGTACCGAATAGCGCGCGCGAGAGAGACGAGGAATAAAATAAATTTTGGAATAAAATAAATTCCCTCTCTCGTGCGTTCACCACCCTCCCGGCGGCGATGCATCTGCGAGATCGGCGCGCGGCTACGGTATGACGCCACGCGGCAAATGTCGCGTGAAATGCGATTTCAGGTCGCGACGGTGGGTTCTCATTCGATGATTCTCGTTATCCTCGTTACAAGCTCGGAAGGGGATGGCGGAGGAGAAGGGAGTTGCGGGAGCAAATTGCGCGCGAGACCGTGAGAATAAATTGTCTCCGGTAGCGACGACGAGTCTCCCCCTGCGCGCGACGGGGGCTGTCGCGGATGCTAGATGCGGGAAGGTTAGAAGGGACGGGGAGTAGACGACCTGTTTCGCGTCCGGAGACTCCCCCCTTTTTTTTCCCACCAGCATTGTCTCAACACGCCTGCTCGCGAATATTTAGTTACCGCGGCGAGCCGCGCTCGTTACCGTTTCATCTCGCATTACCGGGTACGTGCGACGATTCCTTGAGCCTCTGCACCGCAGTCTCTCCGTTTACACATCGATACTGTCGATACCTCGAGCACGTTGCCTTGTCGTTGCGGTTTTACTTGCCGCGCTCCTTCACGTGGAATTACAATTAATTTAAAGGGCATTAATCGTTCCCTCTTGGGCGCCGCAGTTGGCGCGGATGTTGGATGCTCGCCGTGACTTACGGTTGCATAGCGAAAGAGATACTTTTACACTACATAGTATGATATAGAGTGTCTTATGTACGGCTATCTTATCAGGTGTATTTATATATCTTACGCAAATAACATTGTACAGGTAATAATTACACAGAAATCTGAAAATAAAATTTCTTCTTATATGTAATTATTTATGTAAAAAACTTATATTCTCTTATATGTAATTTTATATTTATTATCGAGATTTAAGGTCGCGAACAGGACTGTACATTTTTATTTTTTTTAAGCATTTCTTTTTTAATCCACTTTTTATTACAAAATAGAAAAAACTATGAATTTTAAAAATCGAGAATAAAGAAAAAGAAAAATTGACTTTAATCCCCGTTGGAAATCAATTTGGTTGATTAGCTTTCGTTCGGTAAACTACAATAGTCGAGCATTTGACAGATGCTGAATATAATCATTACTCGAGTACCGAGAGGGTTAAAAGGCGGAGTCGTGAATAGTCGACGAACGCAAAGTTCTCGAGTAGACCAGTCTGCTGACAACTTCTCGCTCGCACTTCTGGAACTTCAAGGGATCGCTCAGCACTCTCTCTTCCTTGTTCTTAAAAGACTTCCTGCCTGGCTAATGGTCTGCCACTTGTACTTCCGTAACCGGGATGTATATTGCAGTTTCTTCTTCATGGGCACGGTAGAATTTGCGTGCAGACCAGAGTGCAACCGGACGTTGCGAAATACAAAAATCTAAAAGATTGTATGATATTTTTGATACAAAATGCAGAACGAATAAAAATATATTTGTGTTATATATTTCCATGCAATATTCAGCTCTACTTTGATGAACAGAATTTATATAATATTGCTTAAGCACTCAAGAGACAGATATTCAATATGTAATTATAATGCTAAATATGGATGCGAAAGAGGGTCCATAATTTCTATACTAATTCAAGAACAATTTATTTACTTCATTCATCCTGGCCAAAATTAATCCGGGGTTATTTGACTATATCTTTACTTAAATAGGGAGCTGGCGATGCATCTGTGTTTGATATATGTTTTCTCCGCGACAAATCTTCTCGAGATATGACACGTTTCGCGTTAGGTCAAAATAAACCCCGTAGACAATAGGGAGGAAAAACTGGTGCCTACGTACGGAAACGTGGCGACGTGTTGCTGATGGCAAAGAGTCGGTGGATTTCTTTCTGAAGAGAGAACGGATCGAGGAAACGGTAGGCAGTAGCAACCGCGTAAGCGCGAAGATGAAGAAGCAATTATTCTAATGGAGGCTTTGGGAGGATTGTAGCCGAGACAAGTGAGGTAATCCATGAATAATACCTGCGCCCCTTCCTCGGGCGCATTCCTCTTCGCGGGCTCCATCTTCCTCCGTCATCCGTCGCCCTCTCATCGCCCCGACAACGACGCCCGCTTGTTGTCCTCTTCCCACTTCTGCTGATATTATGCTAAACTCCGGTAATCCTTAAATGCCACCTCAGTCTCTGCCATCGCGGATAGAGTCTGAATGTCTTGCATAACCTCGGCGAGCAATCCACCTGCTCCGCTCTTCTGGCTCCCCTTCGTTCCTTCGCGTCATCGCCGGGCTCACGGACTCACCTGTGCGGAATTGTCTTTGTTAGATCCCTCGATGATAATTAGGAATACACACGGAACTTCCCAGGAGGGCTAAACGGAGATCCGCCAAAATAATCACGAAAAAGTGAGAAAAAGTTCTTGGGATAAAAATTACTGGTTGACGGTAGTACATAATACGTTAAACGTGTACAAGGAATTATTAGATCTCGTAGTGTTCTTACTGTGCGCATACATCACTGTGCTTTATTATAAAAGACATTAAATCCTGAGGCGAAAAATACCGTAAGCGTATACCGTACCGTAATACGATGGTGACAATTGTTCGATGTTTTATCGCCGCACCAGCGGTAGACTACCATCTGACACAAAGTCGTGGAATTTTTGCGATGCTCTTAGAGAAAGAATAGACGAAACGCGAGCGAGACTCGAAGGAGAGCGAGCTAGTCTTCGGTCTGCGCGTGTTCAAGAGTGTGGATTCCTAATGGTTC